ACGGGCTTTGCGATCAGCCAGGGGGTCTTCAAATCGTCTTCTCAAAGAGGACATGAAACGGTTGAAGTTACTGAGTTCTGGGGCATTGGAGTCATGCAAGTTCACCCCCCAATCTGCAGCCGGTCCATCCAGGGCAGATTGCACGATCCGGATGCGGGCTTTGTCGCTGGGAATGTCCTGCCCGTATTCCTCCATGTAGCTGAGGACTTGGGTTAGGAAAAACCCCAAGCGTGTTGGCTCCCCTTTGAATTTCACCTCCAACGGTGGACGTCTTGGAATGGATCGGTACCTCCATTGTTGTTGGTGGTAGTGTCTTCCGTCCAGATTGCTATCTGTGGTCCGGTAGGGGGTGGGGACTACTGGATCAGCAGATGTCCCCGGGGTTGCAGGTTCCACGTCCCCCTCGGTGTCTCTACCTTTGCGGCTCCAGGAGCTGGGGCGGCCGTAGGGCTCAGGATTCTCCTCTCCTAGGGAGCTGAGAGTTCTCTTCATCAGGTCAATAGCTTTCTCTAGGATCCAGTCTGAGTACAGTGCCCAGCTTTCTCCCTCTTCACTTGCGTGCAGGGATTTCTCCATCTCCTGCTTCCATTCTGGTTGCTTGGTCCCCCGTCTCAGGGTCCCCTGTAACGATGCTAAGAAAAAGACTCAGGCATGTCTTGGGCAGAGGTTTGAAGCTGCATGACACATCTTCACACAGCTTGACAAACTCTGAGTTTATTATTTCTTATATACTTTTTACATATATAGGCTTTACCATTAACTGCTGACATTTTACATTTAGAAGTTTAATCTTTAGCTGTTGACATAAAGTAATTGAAAAATTCTTTCATATAAGCAATTATTTTCTAGTAACACATTACCTGTTGAGAGCAGGTAAAACAAATACAGGTAAATTAGAAAAGGAGAAAGAACTGATAAAGACAAGAAGAGATAAAGACAGGAAGAGATAAGGGAGAACTTATTATTTAGGTAGGTAAGATATTAAGTCAAAAGGGGGGTGATCTTTTGGCTGCTTCCTTGGGACAAAGGGTATCAAAAGGGTATGAGGTTTGTGGGGGGCAATGCATGGCAGTTTGCTGCATGTGCAAATTCCTCCACATCCCACCTTTTTCTATTTTATTAATGAAGACATCTTAAGCAGGAGTAGTTAGTGGCTCTTAGCTTAGTAGTATGGAAGATTGCAAGACATCTTATTAAGTAAAGAAAAAAGACATTGAAATAAACAACAACAGTGATAAGGATAGCAACTATTATAATGAGATAGTGAACCATCTTTCCAAGAAGGCCAATGGGAAGCCATGACCATAGAGCACTCCACCAATTTCCTAAGGTATCAATTTTTAAATCAGAAGCCAAGTTATGTAAAACATTAATTTGCTTTTGAATAACGCCAGATTGATCAGAAAGATTGAAACAACACATTCCTTCGAGTACTTCACATCCCAGATGTTGCCGGAGCAACAGATAATCAATTGCAGCACGATTTTGTAAAATAGCTTTACGAAGTTCTATTAGCTCTTGATTAATAGCAGATAAAGCTAAGGAGGTCGCATTAATGGTCTTTGCTAAATTACATGCAAGAGAATTTAAATTTACATGAGCTCGGACAGCAAGTGCTGGTACCCCTACTAATGAAATAGCTAAGGCATTGTATTCTGCTTTATTGAGGAGGGTTCTAGAAGAATCACAAGTATCGTCCAGGGTTACTGATCTTCTATGACGTTTTGAACTGGATATGTTAAGTTCTGTTTTTGTTGGCAAAAACGTGGTGAGTCTACTAAGGCAACAGTGTGTTGTACTTACATTGGCAGGAATGTAATTAAATGTCTCTTTCCTGCAGGTAAAGAACCATCCCTTTTGCAACCATATATGTGCAAAATTAAAGGATACCTCTTTAAAGGAGGTACAATTTAAAATCCCTTCACTGACCTGTATACAATGAGGTTTTTTAGGTGAAGTAGTACAATTGACAATTTTTGCACAAGTAAGATTTGTAGGCACAGCTACAATTGGTGTATGCAAAACAACAGCATCAAGGGGTAACATATAAGAGGCATGACCCCAGCTTGACATAGTTGCATAATGAAACTCTTTGTCTGATAGAAAATTGCTTAAACCAGTATAATTTTTTAAAACTGAAGCTGGGACACACACAGGTATAAGACAGGTAGAGAGTAGATTTTCCATGTCATATGATTCAGAAATACAAAAGTCTGTCACTTGTGTTACATTAGCTAATTGCACCCAAATATTATATTTCATCCGTGATTCTAAAGGATGAGGTGGGAGAGCTTCAGCCCTCACGCAGCAATTAAGAAGGAAAGAGAGGCAAAGAATGACTAAGGAATTTGCAGTCAAAACCACAAATATGGCAGTGTATAAATTCTCTGGTGTAGGTTCTTTTCCCTGTTGTCTCAGAACCTCCTGCACTTTGGATGTTAGGTTCTTCACATCGCCCCAGGTCGTTGGCTGACTGCAATGGCAAGAGCGAAAGGGATGTTGTGCTGTCTGAAGAGTCACCTGCTTCATTTCCAGTATTGGGTTCTGGACTTGATGCCATGACATCTTTGGATGGTTGCACACACTGGGCTGGAATCCAGAGAGGGCCTGTAGGAGCAAGCACAGAGCATAGCCTCACCCCCAAGTTAGTAAAGGAATTGGACCTAGCCAGGTTTTATCAGGCAATTGCTGATAATATACCAATGGATTAGGAAGCACAGCTTTCTGCTGAAAGTGACGCTGGTAGGCAATAGTGTTTTGAAAAGAAATATTTAGCTGGTTTAAAGTTATTAAGACTTTATTGACTTGACGAGTTATCCATGCCAAATTAGGTACCCTTGATCCCTCCTTTTTTAATTGTTTAAGTAAACATTCTTTAATTGAACGATTGGCTCGTTCCACAATAGCTTGGCCAGTAGAATTATAGGGAAGGCCATGACGAAGAAGAATATTCCATGTAGTACAAAACTGTAGGAAGGTGGTGGAAGTGTAAGCTGGGCCATTATCTGTTTTTATAACAGCTGGTTTCCCCAAAGCCGTAATAGCAACCATAAGATGGGAAATGACGTGATTAGAGGTTTCTCCCCGTTGGGGTGTTGCCCAAATAGCACCAGAAAATGTGTCAATTGAAACATGGAGATATTTCCAAAGGGCTAGAGATGGAACGTGAGTAACATCCATTTGCCATAATTGATTGGCTTCTAAACCACGTGGGTTAACACCTGTGTCTCCTATAGGGGATAGACCTGCACATTGAGGACAAGCAGAAATTATTTGTTTTGCTTGGCTTAGAGGAATATGGCAGGATTGTGCGAGGCCATGAGTATTTTGATGAAAAAAAGAGTGACTATAAAAGGGATCAGAAAACAAAGTGGATAGGATGTGAACAGCAGCATCTGCTTGAGCATTATCTTCAGAGAGAGGTCCAGGTAAAGAGGAATGACTTCGAATGTGTGAAACAAAATATGGATGAGTACGATCCTGTAATAAATGCTTCAAAGTTAAAAATAAAGATAATAAATTAGCATCTAGTCTGGGTGTTACATAAGCACCAGGTAAATTAACAATAAGTTGATAGACATAGTGAGAGTCAGAAATGAGATTAAATGGTTTTTGAGCAAAAGTATAAAAAGCAAGAATAACAGCAGCAAGTTCCGATCGTTGCGGTGTGGGTTGCACAGCTGTGTAAAGAGTGTGCCATTTCACTGTTGATTCATCTCGATATGTGATTGCTCCTCTAGTCTTGCCACCATCAGAAAATACAGTAATAGCATCAGATAAAGGCTGATTTGAAAGCATAGAAAAAATGCGAAAAGAGGAAGTCATTAAGAATGTAAAGCGAGGGTCTTTAGGTAAATGATAGGAAATTTTTCCTACATAGTCTATCAAAGCAATTTGTAAAGCTTGACATGTCTGAAATGCAAATTCAAAATTAGATTTAGCAACAGAGATACAAATATCCACCAAGTCTGTGCCAGTGCGTTGAAGAGCCCGCAAACGGCCTTGTACTATTAAATCTGATATAGCAAGAAAAATATGTAAGACATTATGGGAAGGAGTGTTAGGTAGATAGAGCCACTCAATAAATAAACTTGATTGTTCTTTATAGCAGAAAGGACTGCTGTAGGTAATTCCTCAGTGGGGAGGATTAATAAAGTTAGTGGAGAATTAAGAACAGGAATACAGTCAACAAATTTAGTTCTTATAATTGAATTAATTTGTTTAATAACACTTTGCACTGACGAAGGAATGGAGATTACATCTGCAGGGGATTTGCCCTGGGTGAGTAACTCAAATAAGGGGCTTAACAGACCTGTAGGTAAGCAAAAATAAGATCTTACCCAATTAATAGTGCCCAAAATTTGTTGTAACTTAACCAGCGAAATAGAAGAAGGTAAAGAGAACTGTGGAATATTAGGACTTGAATAACTTTGGAGGAGTTTGTGTCCTAAGTACACATATGGTGAGCAAAGCTATACCTTTTCAGGGGCTATCTGGAGTCCACTATTGGCTAAATCTACTTGAAGTTCAGAAAGCCAATAAGATGGGATGGAAGGGGCTCCTATAAGAATGTCATCCATATAATGATATATTAATGCTGTTGGATGACGCTTACGAAAAGGAGCCAAAGCATTGGCTACAAAATATTGACACAAAGTGGGACTGTTCAACATTCCTTGTGGTAATACAGTCCAATGGTATCGGCAAGTGGGTTCAGTGTGATTTATAGCTGGTACTGTAAAAGCAAATTTTTCTCTGTCTGCCATGCACAGAGGTATGGAGAAAAAACAATCTTTCAGATCTATGATCATCAATTGATGATCCTGTGGAATTAAATTTGGATTGGGGGTGCCACATTGCAAAGCTCCCATAGGCTGAATACATGAATTAACGGATCTGAGATCGTGTAATAATCTCCAGTTGCCACTTTTTTTTTTTGATAACAAAAACTGGAGTGTTCCATGGACTAGTGGAAGGGGCAATGTGTTTGGCTTGTAATTGTTCTTGAACAAGAATTTTTAAGGCCTGTAATTTGTACAGAGGAAGAGGCCATTGTTCCACCCAAACAGGGGTAGTAGTTAACCAAGTTAAGGGTAAGGCAGACACTTTATTCATCGAAGATGACGGTAGCCCCCCATTTACTAAGCAAGTCTCGTCCCCAAAGGTTGACATGAATGTCAAGAATGAAAGGATGAAGTTGAACAGTTACAATAGAATTAGGAAGACTTGCAGAAAGAAATTGTGTACTTTGTCGTGCACCTTGTCGCCCTCCTACACCCCAGACACTAGGGCATGGGTCAGTGGGCCAAGATGCAGGCCAATCTTTAGCTGAAATTACTGAAACATCGGCCCCTGTATCAATTATGCCCTCCAAAGGCTTACCCTGAAAAAAGACTGTCTGACGGGGTCTTTGGGTGGTGATTGGGGTGGTTAATGCAATTACAACAGGATCTGTGGAACCAAACCTGCCGTCCCCTCGATCCCTATCACGACCCCCTGCAGGGACAAAATAGGGCAAATGGAGTAATTGTGCAGGACTAGTATTACTTGGCAAAGTATGTGGCATGTTAGTCCATAATTGAATAAAGATGACACCTGTATAGTCAGAATCAATTACTCCAGGTATTACAAAAATTCCCTTTTTTCCCATGCTAGAGCGAGGCAAAATTAATCCAACATATCCAGAAGGGAGAGGTCCAGAAAGTTGTGAAGGAACTACTTGTACTTCTCCTGGAAATTTGAAACACACTTCTTGTTGGATAGTTAAATCTATCCCAGCACTCCCTCTATTGGCAGCAGGGCTATTGTTAATTGTTGATGGAATTACTGAAGGGTCTCTGTTTGGACCGGGGCCAGAGACCGGCCCGCTTTGAAGTTTTCCGACCTACATTCATTAGCCCAATGAAATCCCTTATTACACTTAGGGCATTTTGTTTTTGGACGTCTCCCAGCATTATTTTTAAATGGTCGGGAGGCATACTTTCCTCCCCCAGGATTTCTGCAATCCTGTTTAAAGTGTCCAATTTTACCACAATTATAACATTTCCCCTGAGGTTTTGTAAGAGCTGCAGCTAAGAGATTAGTTTGAAAAGAAACAGTCCCAATATCCTGACACGCTTTTATCATTTCTGCTAAATCTGGTTGAGCTCCCAATCCAATAATGGCCCGTTTACATTCAGAGGTGGCATTTTCTTTAGCCAATTTCATAAGCAATTCAGCTTGGGTATCAGGATTATCAATTTGTCATCTCAAGGCATCTTGCAGATGGTTAATAAAATCTGCATATGGTTCATTTGCCTTTTGACGAATATTTGAAAATGCTTGAGATGGTTTCCCAGTTATAGGAACTTTTCCAAAAGCTTTGTAAGCACATTCAGAGGATATTTGAAGAGTAGCTATAGGCAAGACAATTTGTGCATCCACTGGAGTGTAATCACCAGAGCCATATAACTGCTCTGGGAGGTAAGCACCTCCAAAAGTTGCTGCTCTTAATGCACATTGATGTCTAAACTCACTATCCCATACCACATACTGAGCTGGTGTTAATAACATACGAATTGTTGTTTTCCAATCTTCTGGTACCAAAACATGATTCCTCATTGTTGCTTCTAACATACCTTGCACATATGAACTACCTAACCCAGTATCTCTTATACCCTTACGCAATTCTGTTAAGATTGCATAAGAAAGTGGTCGATATTCAACCACTGGGGCTCCATTCTCATCTACCTGCCCAGTCAAATGTACAGGACAAACTGAGAGCGTATCTGCTATTTCCTGCATATCTCCCTCTCCTTTCGCCATTTGATTTTCTAATACATGGCGAATAGAAACATAAGATCTAGAATTCTTTTGCTCTGAAGGTGTTACATCTATCATGGAAGATATAGGAGCTGATGGAACTGAAACCTTTTCATGATTAAAACCTGGAGAGGAAGTAGAACTTAATTGTACTGCATCAGCTCCATATTTTTCCACTGCATGGCGACATTGATGCCAACAATGCAAAACATCCACTGAAGCTCGGGGTTCCTGATGAAGGGTGTTACCTATTCTTTCCCAATCCTTAAGTTAGAGTGTCCCCCTTTCAGGATACCAAGGACAGTTTTTTCCTATTTCACCCACCAGCTTCCTAAGCTCCCTTTCAGGCATGGTCATGCCCGATTTGTGTAAGAGAAACTTTAACACCCTTACATGCTTTTGCTGATAGTGAGATATATCGCAGCCCATACTTACAGTTTGAGAAATCTCGCAGGACGAGAAGACGAGAAGGTGCACCAAGGGGTCTGTTCCAGACGACTGTAAATATGTTGGTTGCTGCTTTCCTTCGGAAGGGGATGTCCCAGTTCAAGGCGCCATTTGTAACGATGCTAAGAAAAAGACTCAGGCATGTCTTGGGCAGAGGTTTGAAGCTGCATGACACATCTTCACACAGCTTGACAAACTCTGAGTTTATTGTTTCTTATATACTTTTTACATACATAGGCTTTACCATTAACTGCTGACATTTTACATTTAGAAGTTTAATCTTTAGCTGTTGACATAAAGTAATTGAAAAATTCCTTTATATAAGCAATTATTTTCTAGTAACACATTACCTGTTGAGAGCAGGTAAAACAAATACAGGTAAATTAGAAAAGGAGAAAGAACTGATAAAGACAAGAAGAGATAAAGACAGGAAGAGATAAGGGGGAACTTATTATTTAGGTAGGTAAGATATTAAGTCAAAACGGGGGTGATCTTTTGGCTGCTTCCTTGGGACAAAGGGTATCAAAAGGTTATGAAGTTTGTGGGGGGCAATGCATGGCAGTTTGCTGCATGTGCAAATTCCTCCACAGTCACCTTTCTTGATTCCTTTCCCCACTCACTTTTCTTTCCAACGTCCATTGACCAGCGAGGCTTGTGGTCCCGTGTCTCCACCACTTCTTCTCCTGAGGAATCTGACCTCTCGGATCCCAACATCTGGCAAGGTTCCAATTTGGTCAGCGGCTCTCTTTCCAGGGAGTTTTCCCCCTCTCTTGCTCCATTGTCTGACATGGTAAATTTTTGCAAAATCCCCCAGCAAGGGTCTCCCTTCCAGGTGGATTAATTTTGCAAGTCCTGTCTAATGTAAGGACCCACCCCACTTGGCATCTTAAGAAGACAGAACTCTTGGAATAATTCTTCCAACAGGAATCCTTTATTAAGAGAAAATGGTTGCAGGCATGCTAGACAGGACTTGGGGTCCAAGCTCTCCCATTCAAGGTTTTAAGGGGTTCCCCAGTAGCCCCACCCAATCAACCCCCTCTTTCAGCGACAGTCTCAGGCATTACACGTCCACCCCCCTTTTCATTACTGCTCGGCTGGATGGAGACTTCAAAGAAACTACATGAAAGGAAAACGGCCCCATTCTTATGGTTAGTTCTTTTGCAATACACACATTCAGTTCCTTAGAAGTATACTGAAGGAAGTGAGGGCCATAAAGCCCCTTTGTTCTCCCCCTTCTCTCCCTCTTATGGCAGAATCCAGAGAAGGCAGAATTGGGGTTTTCTATATTTGATAACTAAAGATGAAATATAATTGGATTCTGACACTTCCCCTTTCACTCCAGAGACTGATTGTCTCAGGGGACAGGGTTAAGCCCTTTGGTTTGTTTATTAAGGACGTGCAGGAAGCTCCAGTATCTGATAAATATAAAGGTGGGGCTGGAAAATGAAGAAATATTTCTTCATTTTCCAGCCCCACCTTTAAATTTATCAGAAGCTCTTGGGGTTTTAATCTCAGAAGCCCCTGACCCCCCTAATCTCCCTCCTCAGATTGGATGAGGGAGAATAATTCTTCCTCCTTTTTCTGGACTGGACAATCTTGCTTAAAGTGTGCAGTTTATCCACAGCCAAAGCACTTAAGAGCTGGTCTGGCTGGTTCCAGCTTATTTGGTCCCCATTTGGGTAGAATTCCTCGTCCTCTATTTTGACTTCCTCTAAATCTACCCTTTTTGGGATAAAACCTCTCCCTCTCTCTTCCAATGGACCTTCCAAATATTTGGTCCATGGTGGATACCATAATTTTTGCTTTTTGTTTCTGTTTTTCATCTTCTCTCCTTACATATACATTTTGAGCTTCTGACAAAAGATCTGCCATTGATTTTTTTCAGCCCACACATCTGATTTCTGTATTATTATTATTTTTTAATATCTGGCCAGGAGTGGGTCACAAAATTTACTTTTAAAATCCCTTCTTCTGTTGGACTATCTGGATCTATTCCAGAGTATTTTCTCATTTGGTCTTTTAATCTCTGTAAGACAGCACTTGGAGCCTTGTCCTTTTCTTGCCTTAAATCAAAAGCCTTATTAATATTCTGATTCCTTGGTACTGCCTCCTTAATTCCTTCTACAACAATTTCTCTTAAATCCTGCATCTGTCTTCAGTTCATTATTGTTCTGCCAATCAAGTCTTTGTAGAGGATACTTCTGATCTCCAGGTACATTATTATTTCCTGGAGGGTGTTTCCTCTCCCAGTATCTAATAGTATCTTTCCTGATCACATTTCTCTCTTCACCACTAAACAAAACATTTAATATAGCAGTCAATTCATCCCAAGTATAGATATTAGATCCCAAAAAGTTATCCATCTGTTCTACCACCCCAATTGGGTCTTCCACTAATGGTATCAAATCCTTTTTAAAACTTCTCACTTCTTGGCTGCTCAACTGAGTATTAACCAACTTATTCTAGCATTTCCAGTTGCATTCTCTCCATTCAGCACCTCCATAAGAGGAAACAAACATTCCTCACTCACAACTCTCCTTCTTCTTACATCTCTATCTTTACCTCCATCAGGGAGGGAAGCTGTTTTACATCCTCTTTATACTGTCGTATTTCCCCCCACAAATTTGGATGTAATTCCTCCCTTATTTCTCTAATAGATTTTTCCACTGGGGTTCCCTGGACATTGGGATTTGGAATGTTTCCCTCCACAGCCACGGCTTGTGGATTATATGGAGGAGGTAGATTGTCCAAGGGGTCCCACTGGGTTTTCATACAATCCCCCTCTTCCTCCTCCTTCTTTTTCTCTTTAACCACAAGTATACTGCCACAAGCAGCATACTCTGATTCTCCAGTTGTATTACTTTTATTGTTAACATATATGTTTAATGCTTGACATAGCCAATCTTCAAAACTTCCATATTTTGGCCCAAATACACTAGTGCCCTTAATAGGATTTCTTGGCCACTCAAAGCAACAATGTTGAATCATTCTTTCTTTACTTTTAGTCCTGGTTTTATTATTATAGTCCCAGTTCTTCAACATTGCTCTCAATGGACTATCTGGCGGAATGTTCAGAGGAGATCCCATCTCCCCTCCACAGCACTTCTTACCCACCCAGTTTTCCATGCTAGCAACCATAATCTCTCCAAAGTTTAACTAAACCACCTGTTCTGCCCCCCTCCAGGACTTCACACCAACTCGTGCTCGAAGCATGACACACTTCCCATCAACCTGGCCCCAGCACATAGAGCTATATATCCCAACTGTCAAAGCAATACTTAAGTCCAAATTTTCTTACCTTGGTCTGTGCACAGAGTTGCCCAGTTGCAGCGCTTCAGTGCCCACTATATAATTCCCCCAGGACTTTTCCCTTATGATTGCTTTCTCTTAAACTCCATTCTGGATTCCACAGGCACACAGGACTCACCAATCATCCATAACATAGGACCATTTAAATCAATGGGACATGTCTTCCCAGTTGGTGTTTGCTCGGTGCCTCCTGTAGCTGTCTGGAGAGTCCCGGTAGAGCCCCCAAGTTGTGGGATTCATTGTCTAGTTGAAACAAACAATCACCAGCCAAAGCCTCTAAGAGAAAACAATGGTAATTTATTTGTACTCCTTTGCAAATGGGGTGCTTCTTGTGCATGCAAGCACACGTGGACACACCTGAAATCTTCAATATTCATTCTTTATATTCTCCATTGCAATTACGAATTTATCCACCTCTTCTTCATTGGCTTAGTAATCAGACTTTAATCATGTCGTCACAACCTATCCAAAGCTTCTAAAGTGAATACATTATCTCCGCCCCTGATTACATCTCCCACTACTCTAATTCTATTGCCCCCTGCCCTTATTTACGAATTACCTATTATGGTTGTTAGTTCCTAGGGGTTGTCTCTAAACTTACTATCATATCAGTAAATTCTGGTTAAGACCAGTTTTCAGTGTAGCCAAGTTTCAGCTAGGCTCATGAGATTAAAATATATACAGTGTATTTCTTCACAGACTAGCATGCCTTCTGCAATTTTTGTAAAAACAGTAGACTTCTTTTTCCCAGAAGAATGAATAATTAATGCTTTGATTTATAATTAATGCATGAGGCAAAAATAGTTATTGGCCAGCTTGTGGTATGCTGGCTAAAAATGAGAACCACATGGAGCAAATCACATCAAAACCATATGTTCCAGGGTTTGGGGTGACCCTACTCACTTCATTATTGCTAGATTTACTGTACTTTGAATTGAAGAAACACATATACTCACTGACATCTGATTAATGTAATTTCTATTTTCCCCTTTCCTATCATTTGTCTAAGAAAGTTGTATTTGATTAATAAGGGTGTTGTTATGTTGCTGATCAGAACCTTCATGGAAAATAAGTCCCCAGCAAATCTGTAGCTCAAAGCCCTAAAAAAGCTGTCTAAATCAGAGGTCCCCAATCTGTGGGCCATGGCCCACTACCTGGCCATGGCCTACTGGCCACTAGGCCATGGAACAGGCTGGCCAGTGCATGCTAGCACCACTGCCAGTATGCAAACGGGGCGCCACACAGTGAAAAGGGGGCACCGTGCAAATGGGGTGGTACGAGCGCCCATGCAGGTAAAACTGGGCAGTGCTAGCAAATGTCACACGGGTGCTAGCACCACTCCGTTTGCCTTGTGAGTGCTTGTGGCTCCGTTTGCATGCGCACATGTGCATAAAATGCTTCCCCCTCTCTTTCCTTCCGGTCCACCAACCAAGAAAGATTGGAGACATCTGGTCTAAATCATCTTATTTCCATCTGAATTTGGCTCAATCAAAAATCAACTCATAGTCAAACAATGTACACTGCTAAAAATATAGGTTTTTTTTTGTTGTAACCCCAAATTTGAGAATGTTATATCTGCTTTTAGGGGTGTTGTGTCTTTGAACCTATCTTGACTCTTGGAAACCACCTAGACTAGTCCTTGAAGTTTTTTTTGGAGGTGATTTGACATTGCCTGTTTCCTTGGGCTGGGAAAGAATGGCTGGCTCAAGAACACCCAGTTTGCTTTGTGCTTAGGACAGAATTAGAATTCACAGCCTCCCAATTTGGTGTCTTAATTACTACACCAAACAGGCTTTATTATATATGCTTTCTTCTTGATCAAACTAGTTTAGGAATAAGTGATAAACATACAAGTATGTAATCAATGAAGATAAAAAATGGCTTATCTGAGCAAGCAAGGATTTCAAGTGATTTGTTTGCTCATAACAGGCAGTGTGCTTATTAGTGAAAATATATTACAGAGCTTTAAATAATGCAGCTAATTGGTACTACTCTGCTACTGCAATCTTTGTTCTGTTATTTCTTATATGAAGAAAAGGGAAGAAAATGATTGTTGTATATGGAATATTATTTTAACAATACTACTGGCTAGATATTGTAAAAAGAAATAATAACGTTCTTAACTGGCACAAAAACTTTTAAAGCTATTCTTATTAACTATATGTTATTTATGGCATCCTCTTAAATGTTGCTCTTCTCCCATATTTTCATAAGATTTGCTCAGTTTGTTTCACATTTATTTATACTGTGCTTTAATATATTTGTTATTCATGTGTTTGAAAGTTTAGGTATTTTATGTTATGATATTTGATTGTATTTAAAATATTTTTTTAATCTTGTAGATGGGCATGCAGTCATAAAATTTTTAAATGAGCAAACAAGAATTTTACCTATACTGACTCCAATCTGAACATAACATATAGATAGATTTCTCCAACATCTGAAGAGAGTTGTTCATTTAAAACAGATAACTGAAAAATAGTCTCATAATTAAGTAGAGGAGAATACATAAATAAGAAGGTCTTAATTACAATGTAGAGTCTTCTTTTTCTTTTTTATCAATCAATCTAGATTTCATCATTGAGACAATAGTCTATGTCACAGGTCGGCAACCTGCGGCTCCGGAGCCGCATGCGGCTCTTTGAGCCTTCCCCTGCGGCTCCCAGCCTCGTCTGCCTTTGCAGAGAGAGACAGAGACAGAGAGAGGAATTGTGCTTCCCTGCTTCTCTCTCTCTCTCTCTCTCTCTCTCTGTGTGTGTTTGTGTGTTTGTGTGTGTGTGTGTGTGTGTAAAAGAGAGTGGACTCACAGTGTTTTCCGAGGAGCTGAAAAGCTTACTGGGCGGAGCTCCTCCCTTTGCTGCGTCTCTGCAGGAAGCAGGAAGGGCAGGAGAGAGCTAGCTAGCCCAGCTAGACTGACTCAGGAAGTCTGGGAGTTGAAGTCCATGAGTCATAAAAGAGATGAGGTTGTCTACCCCTTATCTTGTTGGACAACAGCTTGAAGCTTGTCAGGTGAGCAGCAGATAGGAGGGGGGGGAGAAAGAGAGAGAGAGAAAGAGAGAGAGGGAGAGAGAGAGAGAGAGGAAAGAGAGAGAGAGAGAGAAAGAGAGCGGGGGAAGAGGAGTAGCAGGCAGACCAAGGGCAGATAGAGAGGGAGGGAGGGAGAGAGACAGAGAGAGAGAGAGACCCTTTTGACATCTAAAATGAAGATAACACTGCATATATCCTTTTTTTTTACCTGTGTGTGTATGTGTGTGTGTGTGTGTATATATATACATACATACATATACATATATACACACACACACACACACACACACACACACACAACACACACACACCTATAATAAAGGTAAAAAAGGATATATGCAGTGTTATCTTCATTTTAGATATCAAAATGGTTTTGCGGCTCCCAGTGTTTTGTTTTTGGTGGGAAACGGGTCCAAGTGGCTCTTTAAGTGTTTTGGGTTGCCTACCCCTGGTCTATGTAGAGAAGTAAAGGGATTTTAAAATTAGAGGATGTTACTTCTGACTTAGGTACAGAAGATGTATGCCATCAGCAGCTTTTACAGGAGCAAAATCTTTTTCATCTTTTGCATATAATAGTACAAATTGGCAGTGAACTAAATATTCTCTTGCACAATTTATATTTTGATCATGTTGTATCTAGGCAAGTATAAATAGTTCAGTTCCAGTATTAAAGTCAAATTTTAGCTGAAAGATAATGAGAATAATAAAATTGTGTCATTAATATTTATATTCTTTCTTTTTATTCTCCAGAATAATAGTTCCTTGGTTTGGTGTCAGAATCACAAACAATGTTCAAAGGTATGTGCTTGCCATAATTATTCATCTTTTTAGAGTGTGTGTATGTGAATTTCTGTGTGGATTTCTATAATTTTTGTCAGTTTAGCATTACACTATTTCTGTATTGTAACATCATTCTTGGAATTGTAGCAACCACAACAAAAAGGTACTTTACTTTTCATATATTAATTGCTAACAATTAATCATTACTTGTTCATTGATAAGATTTTGTAATAGCAATTTATATTAATGATATAAAAACGACCTTTAACTTACATTGGCTTTGATAGCATATTTTAGCTATCAGAGAGACTTAAAAATGATTAGTCATGGCTAAATTGAGCAAATCAATCCACATTCGCCATTTTTTGGGTAGGGGAGCTGGGAAGCATTTATTTGATTTATATCCAACATCTCTGTCCAAGCATGAAATGCTTTGTAACATAAATAGGTCACTAAAATGTTCCTAATAATATTTATTCTACAAGCAGTGTCTGTCAAAGAAGGAACTTAGCAACATGTTTCTCTAACATTCCAAGGTCTACTTTGATGCTGAATATTAAGGTGACCAACTTTTTTACAATGAAAAGGAGGACACAAATAAATTGAAGAAAAAAATATTGTAAATAAAAGGAGGACAGTTGGTCACCTTATGAATATTTATTCTATTAGTAATTTTTCAGATCTTAATTTCTTTGCAGATTTCATTTGGTCTTACTGGTACCTTCTGTGTGTGTTTTGACTTTTTGACTCTCTGAAGATTAGAATGTAAGTGAACTAATAACCATTTGATTCCATTAGAAAAGCATCTCACTGTGATCCCTGAAGAGAAGCAACAATGATTCATCAGCTTTAGAGGGTCCAAGAAGAATTGTAGGATTTAGGCATTGGCTGCTCTTTTCATTCACATACAGTGTTGAGTGCATTTATCCCTACTTTATAAGCCTTTCCAAAACCATTTGTTGTGCTCGGGTTAGTCTGAGTTGCAGGGGTTTTTGAGATGGTGAGCTGCATTGCTGTTGTTTGGCTTCGCGTTTGTGGTCAATGCTTCATCTTCATGGTGGGTGTCAGTTTGCTTCATGTATGGATTGGAGGGGTTTAAAGTGGCTAATGATGCAGCTGTGGTCTGGCTTCTGGTTTGTGGTTGTGCCTTATCAACAGTATGGGTTTGGGTTTGCTTTTTGCGTGGATGTGTGGTGGTGACATCCTATGTGATTTTCGTGAGTGTGGGTCTGGTGTCATTCTTTGTGTTAGGGACTCGTTTGTCAATAAGGGCGGGTTTCCAAATGGCTGGTAGACAGGAAGTATCATCTTGTTTATTCATGCGGTGTGGGCGTTTTTCTATCTCGATGGCTTCTCTGATTATTCTGTTATTAAAGTGTTCAGTTTTGGCGATAGTTCTGTCTTTTTAAAGTCAATTTCATGTCCTATGGCTTTAAGGTGTTGGACCAGGGAAGAAGTTGGTTCCTCTTTTTTGACTGAGTTCTTGTGTTCTTCAATGTGTGCACTTATTCTTCTGTTGGTTTGTCCAATGTATGTAGTGGGGCAAGCGGTGCATGGGATTTCATATACTCCTTGATTTTCTAACTCAATTTTGTCTTTGGGGTTTCCTAGGATAGTGGATATTTTTCTGTTTGTAGAGAATGCTGTCTTGATGTTGTGTTTGTGGAAGATCTTGCTGATTCTGTCTGTGGTGCCTTTTATGTATGGGAGGAGGGCTTTGCCGTTTTCTTGTTCTCTATCTTGGATTTTAGTGGGGGTTTCTTTTTGGACTAGGTTGGTAATCTTATTTCTTTGGAATCCGTTGGATGTTAGTACATTAGTGAGAGTGTGTAGTTCAGTTTTTAGGTGTTGTTCATCAGCTAAGTGTTTTGTTCTGGAGATGAGTGTCTTGGCTACGGAGTTGATCTGTGCTGGGTGGTGGTGTGAGAGTGCATGCAGATAGCGGTTTGTGTGTGTTTTCTTCTGGTAGATGGTGTGTCCTAGGGAGCCATTGGATTTCTTGTAGACTAAGACATCCAGGAAGGGAAGTTGGTTGTTAGCTTCTGTTTCCATGGTGAACTGTATTTTGGGGTGTAGGCTGTTGAGGTATGTGAGGAAGTTGTCCAGTTTTTCTTTCCCATGTGGCCAGATTATGAAGGTGTCATCTACGTATCTGAGCCAGAGTTTGGGTTTGTGATCAGATTTTTCTAGAGCTTGGGTTTCAAAGTGTTCCATGTAGAGGTTTGCAATGACAGGTGAGAGGGGTGATCCCATGGGTGCTCCTTCTATTTGTTTGTATTTTTGTCCGTTATAGATGAAGTATGGGTTGGATAGGCAGTGATTGGTCAGATCTAGGATATGTTTGGAGGGGGGTTATATTTGTTTTGGACAGCTGTCAAGCCTTCTTTGATTGGCACTTGGGTGAAGAGGGATATAACATCGAAGCTCACGAGTAGGTCACTGGGCTGTAAGTTTTGTTTCTTTATGATCTCTATGAACTGGAATGAGTTTTTTACGTGTGAGGTGATGGATTCTGCATAGGGTTGTAGTTGTTTGGTGAGAAATTTGGCTATGTTTTGTGGAGGTGAGCCTATGGAGCTGACTGTGGGTCTAAGTGGGGTTCCTTCTTTGAGTATCTTGGGGAGACCATAGAGCTTAGGGCATCTGGATGATTTCTCTCTGGGAATGATTCTTTGCTGGATCTCTTCGCTAATGGGGAAGGCTTTTATTTTGGATCTAGTGGTTTTTTTCCAGGTAGGTGGTGGGATCTGTGTTTAGGGGTTTGTATGTGGAGTCTTTGAGTAGGTTGGTTAATTTGGTTTGGTAGTCAGATGTGTTCATAACCACCGTGGCATTGCCCTTGTCTGCTGGTAGGATTATTATGCTGGTGTCTTCTTTCAGGTTAAGTAGTGCTGTCTGTTCCTCTTTGGGTAAGTTGCTTTTGGGTGGCTTGCTGGTGCAGAGGATGTTGGTGATTTCGAGTCTGGATTCTGTTAGCGTCGTTAGGGTTGATTTTGGTCAGGCTGGTTTCAACTCCGCATATAATGGTTTCAGTGGGGATGTGTTTGGGAACGACTGCAAAGTTGAATCCTTTGGAAAGGACATTGGTTTTGGCTTTGGTGAGGATCCTATCTGAGATGTTATGCACTGTTTGTTTCATGTGTGGCTGTGAGGGAGGAGGGGTTTGTTTCTGGCGTTCTTTTAGTCTTCAGAGTTTGTTGGTGTGTGTGTCTGTCTTGAGGGTGGTCTGTGTTTTGGCTCTCCAGACGGCGAGTTGTTTGGATTTGTCCCAAAGTACGGGGTGGATCTTGTTGCTGAGTTTGAGGTGAAGTGTGAGGAGATCTTTGTTGATTTGGTCTAGGAGGAATCTTTTTGTGTGACGTTCATTTCTGATTAGGGCCAATTCTGTTCTTTTCAGGATGCGTTTGGTTGCTGCAGAGTTGGAGTGGAATTTCAATTGGAAGCATGTCGGGATTAAATTAAATTAAATGTCAGCAGTTTGGCCGACAAAAGCTAAGTACTTTTGTATATTAAACAGTTTCGTTTATATTCTTATCCTGGTGATCAAGTTTATTTGTTATTTTCACTATACAGGATTCGCATTTTTAACATAATTAGGGACAACTATGGGAGGGCAGTTTTGCTCCATGCTAGGAGATGGGAGAAACTGGCATGACACATATCTACCAGCTATCGCAAGTTGGCTTTCCTCCACGATTGTATCCGATGGGACCTTCCCCCCAAGTCGCTGAGAAAGAAACCCTTGGTTGATTCCGTAGAATGGCAGTTGGTCATCCGTCTGTTTCAGTGTCGCACCATGCGCGCTCTGATCAATGACCATCACAGGCGCATAGAGGCCTTGAGGGCTGGTATCCAGGATTGCCGCGAATGCTGCAGCACGTTGTTAACATGTCAACATTACCAGGCGCTCAACCTACAGATCCACCAGGCTACCATGAGGGCGAGCCAGCAAAAATCCATAGTGCTCCAACATCAAATGGACACTTTGCAGGCATTGGACAACTGTGGACATACCAACAGGCTGGTTCATAACCTATCCTCCAAAGCCCTGACCAGCGCACAAATCGCCTTGTTAGAACGTGATACAGGACACAACCTGGCAGATACACAGGCGATTGATTTCGTGGCGGCACTGGAACCCACTATACAGCAGATTGAGATGAGTGAGGAAGTTAAAAACTCGATTAGGCAACGCGTCATGCATTTACTGATGAGCTATAAACGATGTCATATACTGTCCAGGGAGGAGAATGAGGTATTTGTATTTAATTTTATTTATATGCCGCCCAATCCCAAAGGACTCAGGGCGGCATACAGAGTTAAAACAATCATAAAATAATAAAATAATACAGTCATACCGCGAGTCGAATCATATCCCGCTCCCCCCCGGGGACATCAGCCCCAGGCCTGCCGGAACAGTAGAGTTTTAACGGCTTTCTTAAAGGCCGGCAGGGTGGGAGTAGTTCGAACCTCGGGGGGAAGTTGATTCCACCAGGTCGGAGCCACCACAGAAAAGGCCCTTCCCCGAGGGCCCGCCAGCCGACATTGTCTGGCTGACGGGACCTGAAGGAGGCCCAATCTATGGGACCTCACCGGTCTCTGGGAACTATGCGGCAGAATGCAGTCCTGTAAGTAACCTGGCCCTATGCCATGAAGGGATTTAAAGGTGATAACCAACACCTTGAATTGCGTCCGGAGACCCACAGGAAGCCAGTGCAGCTCGCGGAGGATAGGTGACACGTGGGCGTACCTTGGCGCGCCCACAATCGCTCTCGCGGCTGCGTTCTGAACCAACTGCAGCCTCCGAACGCCCTTCAAGGGTAGCCCCATGTAGAGCGCGTTACAGTAATCCAGTCTTGAGGTGACAAGGCATGAGTGACTGTGAGTAAAGCCTCCCGGTCCAAATAAGGCCGCAACTGGTGCACTAGGCGAACCTGTGCAAAGGTCCCCCTCGCCACAGCCGATAGATGTTGTTCCAGATTTAGCTGTGAGTCCAGGAGGACACCCAAGTTGCGTGC